AAATAGAATTAATTATTTTTGATTGTTCACTTTTGACTTTTTACTCTTCCATGTTTTTAATCGAATCGTTTATGTACTCGTATTTTTCGTGGCGTTAAAATAAATTTAACCACGCCACACATTTACATGTATGTACGTATTTTTCGAGGTATTAAGAAATATTTAATCACGCTAAACATTTACACGCTATGCAACTATTTTCCTTACTCACATCATATGTTTGTTTTTTCGTGACGTTAAAAAAAAAACTCAATCACGCCATGAATGTATACTCCATGTCAATATTTCATTCTTGTTTACTTCTTCTGTGCAATAAACTCCGTTAGTTTTCAAAATGCCGTGGATTTATTACCTTATATGTGTGCGTGTATGAGAACGCCCTCTACGATGCATTCTGAAAAATCTTTCGTGACCTATTAAAAATAATTGAAAAAATTAAAAAAAAAAGCCAATTAAAACATAATTACAAAATAATTAAAAAAAAATGATGGTAATGTATGCAAATGTATTCACGATGACCTCGACGCGACCTCGTATTCAAATCAATTTCATGTATGCAAATGTATTCACAATATCCCATTGTGACGTCATCATTCAAATTAATCCTTTTACGGCCATTTATGCTAATTTATGCACGAATTTCTATGAACAGCGCCCTCATGGTCGTCCCTATAGTGTGTCCTAAACTACTTACCTTTCTTTAAAATTGGACAAATCAGTGCCTTTGACCAAGTCTGTGGGAAATGTCCACTATTCAAAATCAAATTTAAAACATTTGTATAACACTTGATAAGATATTGTTTACTATATATAATTGATTTCTAAAGCCATAAAATGCGATCTGTTGCAAATGGTGATTTTTCCCTACAAACTGGTGATTCGCAATTTTCGAAAGCTAAACTGTGTGTGGAGGGAGTATTTAAACATTTTTCACGGTCGCCAACAGCCAACGTCGTTTACATCCCATTCGTTATAGTCTTAGACTGGCCCAGCTGTGGTGATTTTTTTCAGTTAAAAAAATTGGAAAAAATAGTTTTGCGAAAGGTGGGGTGAACGCGAAACCACCACAGACTCGCCTTATTTGCAGCGAATCTGTTGCTATTATTTATTCATGATATGCAGTGAAAAGGAGTGGAGGCGTGCACGCTGCATAATGAGGTAAACATTGTGGGTCTTCTGTACAGATCGCGCTTCACTGTAACCCAGGAAAACACACTAGGTATTGCTCTCACCACAGAGGGCGCGGCAAAAACGTCCAGTCTGGGTGATTTCGCGTTAACTACTGCATTTCGCTATTTTTTTTATTTAATTTTAAATTTAAAAAGAAATATCGCCCAGACTGTGCCAGTCTATTATAGTCTCAATGGAGACGATTAAGTAAAACTATGTCCAATGACCAGATTTCATGACTTGAAGATGACATTTTTGGCGTTTCGAAAGCTACTACTCAAGAAATATGAATTAATTCAGTATTGCAACATCGGGGTTCATCCTGAGTAAATATAATAAACACAATAGCAGAATAGAAAGGGTGCGAACCATGTTGTGTACTTATGTCGTCGACGCCCGGTAAAACACCCTGGGCTTATAATCGGGGATGCCCTCAAATCGTAAAACAGAGGGGTGGGTTTATACATATTCTGTGAGGGGCTTATGATCGGGGTACTTCAATGTACTTGGGCGTCCGACTGTCAGAATACTGTGGTTCAAACGCAGAAGGTTCTTACCCAAGTTCCGAAAAGCTCATTTTGCATATAAAAGGTGAGTTTATACTAGTAGTACACAATGCCAGCCTGCATGAATGGTTATGTACAATGGCGTATACGAACGTGATCAGAAAGTCATACGTCATAGCTTTGAAAAATAGCCAGAGGTTAGAGATGTTCGTTCGTTACCCCCTTTCAAGAATGGCCTCCATGGGCTTTAATTTTAAGAATTTCAAATGCCTATACACTACAGTTAAAATTAACAAAAAACATAAACCACTGCAATTTTATTTCAATTACAGAGATTCGCTTTAATTTTAAATGATAGGATCTGTCATTGTTTAAGTATTGAAATTATTAACGATTTTTTGGACAAACTTTTGCATGTTAGGACCGACGTGTGTGGAAACCTCAGGAATACGCCATGTCAAGAAGCAGAAAGCTTGCAAGGTTGAGGTACGATGGCGGTGCTGATGATTACAACTCACACAACCCTGAAAGCGAAACAGTCTGTTAAAGCTGTTATGATGTAACAACATTGTTATGTCTCCAGAATGCCGTGCCAATTAAACTTGTTGACCTCACTGCATTGAACGGTAGAATATAAAGGCAGTTGACTGATTTATGAACGTCTTCTCCATCGGCAGTGCTGGTATTGGCCGTTTTGCGAACTCTGTTGCCGCTACTTGCAAACTGTGTCATCACCGGTCACAGGGAGAGTGGTAACAAGATGAAGCAAATTTAATGTTTTGTTAAATGTTTGGGCTGCATGTATTGAGACAAATTAGATTAGACATACAAATTCCACAGCACAAATGAAAGAGATAAATTTATTGCTTAAGCAGGATAATGTGCGAATTAAATGAGATAGAGAAATCGTTTCTAGAATAAATTTATCGGCTTATGAAAATTAATTATTTCATTCTTTATCGTGATAGCAAAACGTTCTATTTTGGCCCGGCCTTACAACAAATAAATTGCACATATGATTTCTAATTCGGAATGTAAGTAATAAACGACCTAATACTTTTATTCATTTTTTTTTTACAGAAATTAAAACTAAAGAAGGCAAAACAGATGTTGACGCAACCATACGGCGTAAAAATTGCCCACGCCGCTCAGTGATTTAACCAAAGTTGCTCATGTTTAGAAGTAGGCCACAGAGGTGAATAACACACAGAAAGGTTAAACACTCCTGTCAAGTGAAATTGACAAATAACAATATATTGCGATAAGGATATAGACTGTTGGCTATTTTGAGTTCAAAAGAAATGCATGAGAAAATTTAATTTTCAGAAATACATAAATACGCCAAAAATGAACACGAAAGTTTTGTCGATCCTTCTCAAAACGAAACTTGTCGTATGACACTTATCGGTGTCACGTCAATTCATGTCAATATAGACAACTGTTGCTGCTTACTATAGCCGTTGTATGTAAGGCAAGGAGTTCAAGGTAAGGGTGAGAAAATCTCTCCGATGCTTAAAACATATTTCGATGTTTAAAAATTACGACCTGAATGAAGCAGGTAAAATAATACTAGTAGGGTGCGGTTGTTACAAATATGTCGTGAATTAGGCAATATCTTGTGGTATTCGCAACTGCAATGGTGGTTCTTTCCTTAAGTACACATTCGCTTAGCAACGTTGTTCTGTTGACTGTTAAATAAAATGCGTGGCCTTGGTGTTACAATGCAAACAAGTGTGAGTCACAAAATTCCCCATTTACAAAGAAGTAAGTTATACATAGCAGTATGACAACAAAATAACTCTAGCAGTTCCTGTTGAGACGTACAGAAACTATCTTGCAGAATACATCTAGTAAGTGGTTTTTTTTTTACATACAATCAACCTATTAATATAGTGTCTCGTGGAAGATAACACATACACATAATGAAATTAGTGCTAAAAATTACAGTCCCCGTTACTCGATTGAAGCCACTCAACACCGAGGCCGTCAAAAGTTGGCATATGTTTGACTCGTATCCTAAGACGTATAAATGGTAAGCCAATGCCAATGTTACTTCCTAAACGGTAGCGAAAAGGTGAATTTAAATAATTAAGTGTAATTATTATTCATTCGCTAGAGCAACCTGTGGAATTTCATAATTTAATTATACGACAGAACGCTATAGCCTAGAAATGTGTGGCGTATGGAAGTTATGTTCACGAGTGATGAGGTGTATTCGAAAATACAGCATGCATTCATTGCGTCTCGAGTGAAATAACTTCCAGGCTTCGGAAACGTGAGGACGACGCCATGACGTTGTATCATTATTACCTAAGTTCTATAATAAGACGTATAACAGTACCACCTACTTATTTGTTAGTTGCCAATCAGCTGGTACACAGCGCCATATTACATACAACGTAGTATTTCTGATATATCCGCGTTGCTGGTATATGATTATCAACCTATTGAGAATTCATGTACGATGACAACAACTTTCTGAATTCGAACACCCATGCAAGTTCTGTGGAAATGCATTGTCTAGTCGGAATCGGGGTCATGCAGTGGGCGTTTGTGACGCATTGTGAGTACTGGTGAGTGTTCGGTGAACGAATTGTTGTTTCCCGTGACGTTGAAAGTTTCACCAGTGATCTAGGAAATCAAAAACACGCCATGAGTTTGTAGGATGAAATCTGGTTGAATTGACATTTCATTAGCCTTAGCCATCAACTTTGAGATGCTGTTTAGTTTGTTAACTGCAATAGACTGTAAATAGTGTAAAGTGAAACAAAACATGTTTAGTCTAGCGGCCTCTGATCTAGTGGTGAGCGGCTCGGGTGCTTATCCGTAAGAGCCTTTGATAGCTCGGCTGGTCGCCCAAAAGAGGTGGAGGTCAGTGCCATCACAAAGCCCACGAAGAGTTGACCCCAATGGCTTAAAATATATCACAATTAGTATATCCCGCTTACCTATAGATGTAAAACCTCCAGATGATGTGATTATACAGCCAGGTAGGAAGATTTGTGCATACGCACACTTTGCAGTCACCGAGCCATGCTCCTGTCAAAACATTGTAGTTTATAAGCATGTGCTTAAAGAAAACGGCGTATATGCAAAGATGTATTACTAACTTGGCTGAAGGAAGTTGAGAATGATTGCCAAATTTTAGAGGAAACTAATTTTGCCGATTCATTGCCAAATTAGGGAGACAGGTTCATTGACCTGATTACTGGAATGAAAGGTTGACATAACCTTTGACCCCACTCCTGAACTCCTAGAGAAAATCCGGTAGAATTGGAAGCACACATAGAGGCAGTCGTTCTTTGGTGACGGATGTCATCATCCCTCCCTGCAAGTTCTGAAGAGACTTGGGCCATGCAGACTGACCGAGAGGGCTTTACCATATCAAGCTAATAAACAGCGTGCTAATTGAGGACCCTTTTTCCGACAAGGGAATCTACGATTTTATATCGATAGCAAGCACTGCTGGCTGACTACAAATACCATGGCATTTGTTACCAGTATCGTTACTTTTTTCATACACACATTCACATTAGTATCGGAAATCTCGGAGGCTGTAGTGCAGGGGCGGATCCAACAAAATGTTTTGGAGGTTCCAGGCTTCGCTTAAAATTTACGGAGCATACATCACAGAGAAGCTATGCGTAATCCAGATGCATTTTCATGCTTTTCGGGGGGCATGCCCCCCACCCTCTGAATCCGCCACTGCTGTAGTGGTATTTATTGTCTTTATTGTTATTCATTGTATTGTTTGTAAATTATTTACTGTACGTGATATTTTGATATTAAATCTATTATTTTGTACACATTTTGTATCCACAATACTACAGAGACTGCGGCACGTAATTGTGCATGAAAGGGCGAGAACTGCCCACCATGCGCCGAAGACGCGACCTTACTAGGGGGTACTGGGGCATCCTCCCTTGAAAAATCTAGACCCTCTGGACGCATTTTGAGGGGCAAAGTTTGCTGACACAAAGGGTTTCAGCTTGATTTTCGACCGCCGCCACTGTACTATCCTCATCAGGAAAATTTTAATTCGGTTAGTTTTGAGGGATCCAATAATGTAACCCTGTTTTTGAAGGATAAAAAAACGCAGTCACGAGTATTGAGTGGTGTCCTCCACAATATGCCACTCAAGCTCGTGACAAACTTGTTTACTGAAATTGTCAAGGGACTATTTTGTCTCATTTCTACATATTCGCAGGCAATACTATTATTATCAGCAAGCATGTTACTATGAATACTGAAGTATATTATGTAATCATTTCCATGATCTGCATTCACTAAACGTTATTTGACACTTGTTGATTTCATTGGCGACGAACTACAAAGACAGTGATACACTTGAAAGCTTTTTGAAACGTTGGTTCAAAAAGATACTAGTATACCAGAACTTCCAGTATTTTGTCAATAACCCAATATTATTAAAGGAATGTGAAACTTGAATATGGGTGTACTAGCTGTGCTAAGAATCACTTGTGATACGAGTTTTGATAATTATACGTTTGCAGTTTTCTTTTGTAGTTGTTGTCTTACTGGTGAAACACCCGACTTGTGACAAATGGACGTGTTCCATAAAATCAACGAGTGTGAATTGAACCCAGGAGACCATATATATGTATGGAAGACAATGTATTTATACTCGCATCACGGTATGTTTTTTTTCAAATAACCTAATCGACACATTGTATTTGTTGAAAGATAGATAGTTACAAAAGTATTTTGGTTCTCTATAATTCTTAAATTTATTCAATGGCACCTCCTTTCAAATACAATACTTGTATTAAATACCAGAAACAACCAGGTCATATTGAGTATTCAAAATAAACTTGCATACTAAGTACAAAATAAACAGTGATTTAATCAAAAATATTGTTTAAAACAGTAACACTGTATATCAACAACTGTTAACCAATGGTAAATACTACGCCGTTGACAACCACTCACCATCCATGTATATTACAGATTCTGTATATTATACAACAAGGACACATTACAGTCAGTACCATACTAGATATATTACTATATATTGTAATTATGTTTGTAACAATAGTAATGTGTATAATTTGATTTCAGGGATTGTAGCGGGGAGAAAAGGAGGTGTTTGGCAAATCATACATTTTACTCCAGATGAGTGGAAATCTAAGAGTACAGCCAGGATTAGAATAACGTCTCTTGATGAATTTAGAGAAGGCAGTATTGGGGACATACGATTATATAGGTTTGTGAAAAATAGAATACATGGCAAGAGGCTTGGGAATTGTTTATATTTGACAGGAAATTAGCGCTCAATTTTATAAATATTTCAAAGGTTTTCTGCAATTGGAAATCAATTATTGTAAGGCATGAAAGCATATTTTTCCATACAGTGGAAATTAATTAAATTAGTTGTAATGTAAAAGTGTCGTATATGTTACATATTATGTACATATATACATAGTATTCTCTAAACCCCTGGCGTCAGTCAATTCGTTCCCTGTACTGTATCCTCGCAATGACCTCATTTATATTGAATATAAAACACACCGATGACACTAGCAACCCGTGGTAAAAATGTATATACACTATGACTTTGTTCATGAGTGGTTCAACGCGGTAAAATAGACTACAGGCTGCAAGACCGGTCGCTGGGCTTGTAGGTATATTATATGTTTGTGATCTGCCAGAAATACTCAATTAGATGGCCATTTGTCCATATCTCATGAATTTGTATACACGTGATGTGTAACGTGTAGTTTATCATTTATTTTTATTTTTTGAGAAGCAAATTAACAAGGTATCCATTTATAAACTTAGCATGGATCGGATTTGTTCGTGTGAACACGTATCAATTATAAGTTTTTCATCATTATTCAAACTTTCAAGAAATAAATTTACAGTTCAATATCCTGAATACGAAATAACGTATCTGACTATCATTTGTTGAAGTTGCACTCTGGGCAGAGCAGTGCTTTTTAAAAATGTACTACTTAATTGGTGCCATCTCATGTTGCCATATTTACTACTAACATTAAACCTATTTACGAGTTATAATGGTTTCCTGTAATTTGTCTATAGGTATGGTTATCCCTGGATCGTTTGCTTTTTTAAGAGACGTGGAACCTGCTGTCATGTGTTCAGTGATCATGTGGATGTTGTTTTGCGTCGAGCTAGAGAGTGTTTAAATTTGGGCCTGCCTGTAGATGGGGAGTATCATTTATTGGTGAACAACTGTGAACATTTCTGCTTGTACTGTAAATTGGGGCCAAATTACAAACACCTACAACATTTTAGTCAAGCAGCATTCTAGCCAAAATGAGCATGGCTCTAAAATGTTAGATTGTGTTCAAACATAATTGCCATGGTTCATCGTATTATGAGAGAAGTCCAGGATTTAGCACCATGGTTGACCACGGTGAACATTTTTGCAAACAGACTCTGTCAGGTTTTAACACGTTTGAAAGTGTGTTTCCTCGTGAGTTTTCTGGCAGCCAAAATCATAGCAAACATGTTCGAACACAGTTACAGTCGCAGACAGTGAAATAGTTTGTCATTTTTAGTCATACATATTATTGTTCTAGTTCTACCTGCATTATATTATGTTAGTTCCTTTTGGTTTTCTAGGTATATTTCCATTACATGATTTACCTTATATGCCAATCTTTATTGGATACAATTTAAGTGATGGTGAGAAAAAGGTAATTCGATTTTTCTTCATATACAAACTGAGCTGAAACCAATATTTGTTGTATATAACAAATATTCCTTGTAGTGTTTTGATGATTGATGAAGGAAATGTACGAAGAATGATTTTGTATTCTAATTCTGAGCCAAACTATATTTTTGTTCTGTAATATTCATAATAAGCTATCACAGTACTTCATCGTCAACTATGAATAGTCTTGTTTTCATTTATTTGAAATATACTTACTGTTGTATAAAAATAATCTCAGATATGGCCACATTTTTACTAAAAAATAAATCTTTAATAATGATAAAATGATTAATGATGTAAGACAGCTAGCAGACGCGAATACTTTGGTGCTATTTTTATATAAACCTGTTAATGATTATTTTGATACTCGACATTTGTTCACAATTTTCGAAAATCAAGACTTTCTGTGAACCAGGTGGAAATTGTCACACTTTACTTGGTAGTCGCATGACCCATCTGTACAACACTTATTACCCTTTGAACAAGTAGTTTTATAAATGATGCTAAGAAAGGCTTCTGTGCTGATTATAATACTCTACCTAACTTTATATTTAAAGCTTTGTTTGAGTTGCTAATGAATAAAATAAACATACAACTGGTTAATTTTCTATATATTTGTCAATAGATCTCCCAAGTTACTATTCTCAATATCTAGTCAATTTGTTTTTACCGAAAAATAGCCATTGACTGAAATGTCTAGCCACTTTGTGCAGTTACTATGACGACAACACGGGAAATTGAGTTATGCAAAAGCGGGAATGGTTTCATAGATGTTTATAAATATTTCTAAAACAGTTATCCCCACTGACCCCCGCCCTTCATTCAAATTTATTTCTCGTCATATGCCGTCATATTTAACGTTATTTATAATAATTGTAATTTATAAAATGGGTGATTCACGTTTTTAAAAAAATATGTTGTTAGAATAGGTTTCAAAATGTCTATTTTGGCATTTTGTCACACGGAGTTTTCAAATACTATGATTGAAATCTATAAATAAGTAGCACTTTTAAAACAAAATTACATATAATAGAGACTCTTGAATAAATACGACCGTAGTGGGGTTCTGGACTGTAATTGGTTTGGTTATTTTCAATCGCGATTTAAAATTTATAAATAGTTGATATAAAACCACGCCTTCATGAAACCCGGTGTACTGGATACATACTATTGTTAAACATATCCAAAGTTGCACACAATTGATAGTTTTGGTAAGACTTTATTTTAATAGGTGGAAAATAGACAAATTACCTGTAAAAATTGTATCTGACATATGTCGCATTTCATTTTCAGTGTGAATGGTGGCATAATTATTTGCATGCTTTTTCAGAGATTGTAAAATTTCATCACTTTGCACATCAACAATCAGACCGATGTTTAAATACTCAATAGGGAGTTGTATTCTCTACTCGGATCATGTGAGAACAATCTCATTCCGAAAAACAATTCGCTTACAAGTATATTTTTCAAAGAATATCTTTCTCAAGGTAACGCTGACTGTTTAAAAAACATAATTAATACATTTTTGTTCATTGTAAACCTAACAAAGAAAGAATTGTCCTAGTACATGTGGATGAGGGATGATCAACGAAAACTGACCACTATCGAAAACAAACCTTATACTTGAAACAATGGAATGAGGCAAGACGTGTTATATTTATATGTGTATGTACATGAATATGATAATGCCATGTGATATTTTCAATATCACCGCCCTCAAAACAAATCATGGCTCGTTTACTTACTATAGACAATTTATTTTGGTAATAACTGTTTTAAATTTCCTAAAAAAATCCGAATCTTTCCACAATATTCCACTAGTTCCAGACATTCGCCAAAGGGAGTTTTAGTCGAATGTGTTTCTTCAACCTCATCTTGGTAGAACAAGGGATTCGACTCTCGGACTGCTGCAAAGGATTTTTGTGGCAAAGAACGATGATATTATTACCCTATAACTTGTGTGAACAAGTTGCAAATGTGTCTCTTTAATCGGATGCGATAAACTAATGCAACACCTTTTTTTTCAAATAACGGCGTACTGTTTTGAACGCATACACACACAAATTACAATTGTGATGTTATTTTGTGTAATAATATTTATCAACCCGTGTAGTAATTTGTATTAAGTTTTCTATAAAAATATATTACTACACTAGTTTAATCAGCTAATATTATGGGTCACTAATTAAATATTCTCTATTTATCCGATAAATTTGAAGTTGCATTGTATTTTTGGAATGTCGTTATGTGATTGCTTGAATTTGATCGTTGGAATGATCAACTAAAAGCGATGTAGTTGGGCCGCAAGTAGACGAGGAAAGGAGATTACCAAGGTATAGAAGGATTCTGAATAGTTGTGTCAGTATTCGCATATTCTTTCTTGCTATTAAGACAGCGCAATGGGTTATGGGAAATATCCACATGCTTGACGCGATGATAATTGTCTTTTAATATATTGTCACTGCTATATGTGCTGAGATATACACACATGTAAAAATAAAACACCAGTAGCGTTCTACCTCAAATAATGCCACTCAGGGAAGTCTAATTTGAAACAACATCTATCATTCCAGACAAACCAAGGTGACAGGGTGATATAATGGACTACGATTTAACACAGCCGAATTAACAAGTCTGTTATCAACAATGTATACACATTCCTTCTGTTCAGCGAATGCGTCACCTCAATGAACTCTATACTGTTTGTGCAAACTGGTATCTTTTCAATTTATGTCATCGGTTCGTGGAAATAATTACCATTACTAAAGATACATGATGTGTCACATACCTTATAGTTGACGTGTCTCAAGGGTCAGTGGTGTTAGTGCGCTGGTAGGCAAGCTATGATATATGTACGATCCGCTGCCTGTTTAAAGAATGATTCACAGTTCCCTCTAGATGGTAAATATGGCTGATTCTACATGCACGGAATTTGAATGTTTGGTAGAAACTGTATGACTGTAAAGCAACAATTGTATTTGCAAGCACGATAGGAGACGTGTAGCTACAGTTTTTTCGCAATTTGCTAAAACCTTAGCCCTTAGAAAAAAGGGGTATGCATATACCTTTTGTGACCAAGTAAAATTCTACTTGTTACAATGATACAAAGTTTGACTGGTAGTTTTTTTACTTTTAGTCTGATATTCGATTCCCCTCTCTGTTTCAAAGTGAACCCAAAACTGTTACAATTTTTACATTTTTTAGTTTCACTCTTATCAATGGAATGGACTGATAAAGTTAGCTCATGTTGTGTAGCTGTTTCCAAAGGTTTGAATCTGAATTTCACTTTACAGTGCCAGGGTCTAGTAGAATAATAGGTTTTGCACAGATTGCCTTACCAGCTGGTGACTCAGTCTGTGTAAAGGGGAAGATAACAAATTTAGTACAGGTAATTCAGTCTGCACACATAAGTATGGGTAACGAATATTAGAATTTATCCACAATCAACTTTTGGTATGTAATGTTTGCTCCATTATTCCTGCCATAAGTAATTTAGCATTAATTACTGATTTATTTCATTATCAAGCATTATGTGTTTTGTAAATTGCTGTATTTGTTCTAATTTGTCGTTATTGCTGGTCAAAACTTATATTCATAAAAATAATTTGCCACTCTCTTGTATGTGAGCATATTATAACAACTATACATGTAGAATCAATATTCAGCAACGTCAATATTTGCTCCAATTTCAGCGACGCGTTGGTTACAGCTATAATCAGCAGAATAACCATATCTTGAATTCTTCACACGAGCTGGCGAAAGGTGTGCAAATGTCAGAAGGCTATCAGGAACTTTCTGTATAAGTGATACTAGTGTCAACACATTTTCATTCCTGCATATTTAATGCCAACATAACTTCATGAAAATTTATGGTTCCAAACTTCTTCTAAAAAACAATCTGCATTAGGACATTTTTATGGTTGAAGATCAGCAATTGCATCATAGGTTTTGTATGTACATCTTATGAATTGTGACATATGATCAGATTTATAAGAAATGCGATGTGCCATCATGTGTGTTATTCAGGCAGGGCATAATGATTAATTATTCATATATGCTATCATATTAGTAGCAAATTTTCTGTGGTGGGTAAGTTTATATCGCAAAACTAGGCGTTGAGGTGTTCTTTTCGTCACATAAAACGAACTGACTTAACATGCGCAAAGAGCATAGAAAGGGGTGTGTGTGCGTATAACGAGCATCAGGTTGCGAAGCTACCATAGGAGGGATTACAGCGACGGCCTGAATCGGGCCTCTCACGACAGCGCTCTGCCTGGTTAATGTAGTTGTTATCGTTGGAGCGGCATATGTCTTGGTGACAACTAATCGGAGAAGTGCAAAACATGTATTGGTACGTTCCGAAAATAAAACAACGCTAATGATAGGCGCATACAAACGAAACGTTACACTGTCGTCCCATATTAGGAATGACACGCGACTAACACGAGACAGAACTTTAGTGGAAAATTTGGCGGTAAGAAGACAAAGTATCGTGAGAACGCAATGGGAAACAATGTAGCGAACGCTTGGAGATAGCATCCCGGTTGCTACAGAAACCGATCTAATCTCTCAGGGTTCAACTCGTGGTTATCAAAACAATGTCTGAAGTTACAAACTAACTTAGAACACATGTTGGATAACTGCGCGTTACATTTTCTTATGTAAATGATAGAGGCGAGAATATGGTCAAAGTAATTCATATTAGATTGATCTGACGTCCGAAACGATATATCTGAATTTTCAACTTTCTACCATTTAAGGGTTTTGCAAGTGTTGCAGCAACCAAAATAGAACAGTTAAATTGAACAAAATATTCAAATTGTATGTTATATATAGTTATATAACCTACATCCACTCTTAAATATTATATTAAATATTATTCAGAAAGATATACATATGTTCAAACAATAGTATCTATGCACTACGTGATAATAAAAACTGGTAATAATCTCCCACTACCTCTAAACTGTCGTCCTGTGTCCATGCAACTGTGAGTCCTGAATGTTAATTGTTTAAATTATATCTTGGACTAGAAGCTTCGCGGTGAATGACTTTCGCGGTAATTGGGTTTCGTATCTGTAGGGTTTCGCGGGGAGTATGGCTTTGTCTCAGTAACTGGTCCTTTTATCCCTGTTGACAATTAAAGTTTTATTTTTCTTTAACAACTGGCACTATTCTGGGAATACCATCCTAACAGGAGTTCCAAAATAAGACCCGTGCTCTGATAATGCCTCTAGTTTCAAAGACCAATAAACAATACCATTATGATCTCATTGATGTTTCAAAGGATAGTTGAATAT